GTGAATATATAAATTACTTTATTCACAATTATTAAACCAATATACTTAGTAATATCAAAGGCTGACTGACCGTTTTCCTTATACAATGATATTATATCATTGAATTCAAATTTAACACTATCCATTACAGGGACCCACTTGTAACCTACTGTACGATTAGAGTAACCTACTCGTAACCTACTCGTACATTAGAGCGACATCAACTTACCCACTTTTTAGATTCTGAGCGGAGCGGGAACCTAGTGGTTTTCAAATGGAGTTTATTTTATTTTATTCTTTTTTTTTATATCCTGTAAAGAAAATTTTTAAAAGAAGGAAGGCTTCCATTTCAACACATAGTACCTTATCTTTTAACAAATTTGATCGATATGGTACTTTAGAGAGTTCATTTTTTTATTTAATCAATAGTTAGTTAATGCCATGGGAACAACCATCTTAAAATTAAGAAAAACTGCTAAAATGGCCACCCATCCCTTTAAAAATGTATTAAATTTGATTATTGTACTATATAAAAATAAGTTGAGAAATACTTCTTTAAATATATCACAATCTATATAAATATTATTTATTATAAATCAATTATAGGCCCTATTACGAGAAGGAATCAAAGTTCAAATCTAAAAGGATAACTAAAAAATATTTGTAAAAAAAAAATACAAGCGATTTGATAATAGAAACAGCTGTTATTTTTCAAAGAAGACTTAATATTATCATTATAATATTCTGTTGATCCGTGGTGCTACCATGGTATAAGTTGGTATATAATTATTGGTATACATATAAACGTATTGTTGTTGTTGTACCTTCAATAAATTACTGGCATTGTTTAAATAGTAAATTGTTTTATTGTTATCCAACTATAACTAAGTTAATTTTTTTACATTTTTCTTATTGAATATTGTAAGTTATAACTATTTATATTCAACAGTGTATGCTATTAGTTATCTAAGTATTTTAAACCACTCTTTACCATGAGTTCTGACAAAATTGACTATCCAAAAGTATCGAGTAAGTGTTGTATCATATGAATAAAGTATTACCGTAATAGTACATATCCATTTTGCTATAAATCCAATTATAATAAATAAATATAATGATATGATTTAACACGATGATACCCTTTAAATATCAACATGTTCTATTCAATATACCTGTTAATTTTGGTCTGGGACTAGTTACATTTTATTTTGGTTCGGTGCTTTCATTTTGAATAAAAATAAAATAGGCCAAAATGCATTGTGAATCTCTTTCCACACATTTTAATGTCCCTCAAGTTGGTCATCTATCCGCAATCAGTTTGTTAAGTGCAACCGAGGTTTAAACTATGATTGTAAAACGGGCCCTCAGCGATACAATTTATACATTAATTAAATATGTAAATTTATTTATCTACCTCTTATTTATTTATTTTTTATTATAAAGATTGGACAATTTTTAACTGTAACTGTTAAACTATTCCAGAATTATTTAGCGATGCTGGTTTTATCATTAACATTGGAGGATTTCTCTTAATCTTTGCATTTATAAGGTACTTATAAACAATTTTAACATTATAGCTGGTTTACTTATTTAAAAATAATGAATGAATATTTGTAGCCCTTATTGGTTGGAATCATATGATGAAGCGTTCACAAATTTGGAGCACATGGGTTTATGGACATACTGTTTTAATCACACCCAATACCCTTACTATCAATTTGAAAAACTCTTTGGTTAGTAATAATTTTAATAAATTACAGTTAATTTGCATACATTTTTTAGTTGTTAAACATTAATGAATTATTATGATGTTTGTTTTAAAAGGATGGCTTGTATTTTTGGACGTTTTCATGAGTTTAGCAGTATTGTTATCACTTGGGACATTACCAATAATTGTTGCTGTTGTAACGAGATATCCACAACGTCTCGTACTGAAATATGAGTACATCCTTTCAGCTTTATGTTTCTTAGCGGCTGCAACTACTAGTTTGTTAAAAACATATTATTATTTGTTATATTATCTCATGACTCTTGATTTGATTAAAATATAAATTAATTTTTTTCTAGCTGTATTGATACTGTTTACTGTGAGCCTGTTCCCATTATACTGTTGGAGTTGTGGTTTGGTCATGTATCCTATGTATAACCATCTATCGTGGTCATTTTATTCAGCTATTCTATCAGGTTTTGTGCATGCTTATGGAGCATGGTATTTATTTCAGGTTTGTTGAATATTTATTTATTATTGAATCATTATAGACAGTCACTTTATTATTATTTTCAGGGCGCAAAAATTGCCTATGAACAAAGAAGGAAGATTGAAAATTTAGTCAAGCAAATAAATGTATTCTACAATCAATAACACTGATAAACATTTACTTTCATAAGATATTTTAAATAAAAGACAAATCTGTCCATTAGAAACATAACAATCAGTCCATTAATATTAACTGTTTCAATTTGTATTTAATAATTTAATTAATGATCTATAATTGTCTATTATTGTAGGAATTCATCTCATCTAAAAAAGTATTATAATGTGTAACTAATTGTTTTGTGTATTATTATTTTTTATTTTAATATAAGAGAATGTCATATCTAGATATTTTGATTCATAATGTTATAATCATAAAACATTTTATCTTCAGGAGAATCCATTTTACCCTGTTATTTTTATTATAGTTAATTTACCAATTTAAAGGTAATAATATTATCCATGGCTTCTAATTGTGAAATTAGGTCATACATCACTAAGCTGTACTACTATATAGTAAATTAAAAATTTTAATTATTATTTTGTAGCTTATAATTTATAAAATGTTCAACTTGTATAGCTAAAGATTGAAAAATTAAAACCAGGTTCCATGTAAATAGGTTATATTTAAATTCTTTTATTCAAAATAATATCATCAAATATACGTAAGAACTAAAATCATAGGCTGACCGACCGTTTTTGTTCAGAAACGTTTTTCTTATACAATAATATTATATCATTGAATTCAAGTTTAATACAATCCATTTTACATTGACCTACTTGTAGCCTACTGTATAGCAGAGCAACATCTATTCATCATGAAAATGATCAAATTATTTTGAGTTGAGAATTCATAAAAAATTTTCACTTAAAATTAATTTAAGTTTTGCAAATATTATTTTACCTATTTATTATGAATTAAATATACGTTAGGAAATAAAATTACATTCAGGAATTAATTTAGATATTTTGTAGTAAATAACAAAGCATTGACATTAAATTGTTTTTTTCGTATATTTATGAAATATTATACCTATGATAAGTGTTTGTAATAACAAATAGGTACAAGTATAATACAACTGTATAATTTTTTGAACAATTTTATCTAATACTCTAATGCCGGGTAGTATGAAAAATGTATTAATTTAATGGTTCAATTATCTTTTATTCAATAATGGACCACTAAATGTTTAAGGGACCATTAGCTCACTCAATCAAACAATGTTAAAAGTTTAGTGATTGTTTATAGAACCCATCATATAAGTATCTAAAATGAAATTGGCACAGATAAGTATAATTAGTTTAAACTTAGTTATTTAGTTAAGACTAGAGCTCTCATATTTGTTTGTGAATTAAGATTCACGTTATCACTTGCATTTTGTTCAAGGTTATTTAAATTTACGATTCCGGGAATTTAACACAAATACCTCTCATTAAATCATATAAAAAATATTTATAAATAATCAATTTCAAAAATTAAAAAATAGAAGTTAATATATTATGTATTATAATTTACATATTTAATTCTAAGAAAATAAGTAGCTATAGATTATTATAATTAAAAATCATTCCTATTATTTCAAAGAGCTATCCGGTAGTCACATATCAATCCTTGATTTTCGCAGTTTAACCTGAAACAAAAAAATCTTTGCAAATTACATATAACAAGTAAATATTACCATTGATTATAAGTACTATAGATCACTCACTGGCTCATATAACTAATGGGCAACAACAGCGCTTCAAAACGGGCACATCCATTTATTGTTAATATTTCGCATCGCATAGATACGGGCCAGTGAGGGATCCAAAGTATTTGTAATCAATGATATTACTTAGTAAGTATTATTACTTAAATTTACAAACAAAATT